ACAACACTTTTAAGAAATGGGCATTGGACATATTAGGAACCCAGCGACATCAAAAGACGATTGAAACATAAACATCTCAAACACGATCAACAATTCATGAGATCATCGTTTATTAGAAAATGATGACACTTTTACGTGCAGACCGTCTTTGGATTCTCATTTGTTATTTTCTGCTGATTCGAATTTAATTAAATCAGCTTAAAATAAATGTCCGAATGTGTTCAGCACATGGAGTTTCAGTAGGCGCTGAAAGCGGCAGTGTTGTAACTCGCGTGATTTATGTCGCCGGGCAGCGAGCGTGAGGTAAGAGCCGCACTCCCGCTCCCGCGAAGGATAGTGTCCGGGCGCGGGCGCAGCAACACCGCACTACGTAATCCCGCCGCAACGGCACTTCCTGAAACGTGGCGCAAGCGGCGCGCGAATGTCGGCCGAGCATTTCGCGCTACTTTCGTAATTCGTTGCGTGGTGCGACCGGCCGCCTTGCCTGGCCCGCAGGAAGTAAAAGTTCGAAGGTAAGAAAGTAGGTCTCCACTGTAATTGGCAACGCGCCTGCATACTGATGTCTACACGCCAGCAATATAGGTTGCGTCGAGAGCACCTGCGCCTGCGACAGAGGCGACAGGAACAGGATCCGTAAACGACGACGCTAATTGATAACAAAGGCTTATTTATTTTACGCGACATAAATTGGCTCAACGGCCGAGTCGTGACAATAGCGAAATAAATTGTTGAAGTGATGGGTCGCATTAACGATGCCGGAGGACGATGAGCTAACTGCTGCGCTAATCTGAATGTTATGTAATTTGTAATGAGTTCGATTACAATAAACCGTAGGGCCTGCAGCTACGACACGTACGTTTATTACGCACTTAGTTGGTTTGGATGACATAACATAAGTGGTGTGGTGGACGCGCGCAGGCGCCGCTGCCTGACCCAATCCGCGCTGACGTAACCGACAACAACGGGCGCACGTTGCGCTCGAACTAGGCCGAGATACAAGATGCGCCGAAACTAATCGTTTGCGCAACGCCATGTGAGCTCGCGAGCGGCCGCATTATTTTGACCAATTAACTTCATTTATACTGCAATATGTACGATGAACTAAGCCCGAGCGAGCACAATGTTGAGAAGTACGATTGCGCTCTCCCTTGTATTTAGAAACGAGTCTTATTTCTCCACCGTGTATGTTTGACGTATTATGTCACTATTACGATATGGTTAATGATGTGCTTTTATTTGAGCTGTCTGATGGATGCCGGTTATTTATGTTTAGTGGCCACACTTTCCTGTCACGATTTATTGGTTTCCGACAGAGTTTGGCCTAGTTGTGTGTAATTTGCAAAACGACCGCAGCAGGAGTTGCATCAGTTGGCAGGAAGTTCTGGGTGGTTCGCAGATCGGCGTTGGCAAGCGGAGAGATTGGGCGGCGCGGTGCGGTCGCTCGCGGGCGGCGCGCGCGCAACTTGCAATGGGGAAGCGCTGCGATCTGATGAGCTTGCGACAGCCGGCGCCTGCGCTTGCAAAACCGCCTTCTACCAGGAAACTTACATCGCAGTTCTGGTCCGTGATGTGCAATTCGATTAGCTCACATTCGATATCGTAGTTAAAGCCCTTACGTTACAATTATTTTCATTATGCCATGCCATTATAGAAATTACTTATTTTGTAATGGTTACCGTTACTCTATGGAAGAGGTACCTACTGAAAATTATGTTCATCTATGAGATTGCTTTTACAGAAAACATGAAACTTAATGTCGTAGTACGAGTGCCTCCAATTACTGTGACTAGCAATTTATTACTTACTACACATGCATAATTACCTACATTACTATACGCAGTTAAAGAGGTGATCCATTAAAATACCATTGCGCAACAATAAAACAACATTAAAATTGTAGATTAAGAGGAAAACAGTACATAAGTAATATAGAGCACCAATTAAACTTCTACTGGCCACTGGAAGTGCTAGAAAATTCTGTTCACGGATGTTAAAGGTGCACTTACAGGATAGGCAGTTGCTTGACTTGCACGAACCGACCGTAGAAATTGCGCTTTCGGTTTGGGCAATGGAGGAAGCGTTATGAAACCGGGGTCGCGAGCCAGGCACACGGCTAGATGTAGAATGTTCTGCTTATTAGTGCCAATTTAATAATTTCCGAGATTACACATCTTTTTAAGGTTTTGTAATGTTTTTGGAACGCATTGAGTCTGATTCTGAAGGTTGTCGTTGACTCTGATTATAAATAAGGGATTTTCGGTTTGATGAATCTTAAGAAAATTATAATGTTATGACATGAAACGCGTCTTATCATTACTTATATAATGTTTCATAATCACAATGAACAGTACTGTATGGCGCTATTTGCTAAAATGCTGAGATGAGCGAAACTAACGTTACATTTTGTAAGACAACAATCATTATAACAACCGCAAAATTGAAGCAATTAACGGTTAGTGAAACTAAGATGCAACTTCAGTTATAGCTACTGCGAAACATCAATTGAATTAGTAGGTACATATTTAATATCAATATCAATATACATCGTAACATATCTATGTGTTATTTTATTAACTTTTCTTCTAAAGTAATGACTTCAAGTATTGATATTAATGAGGACCGTTCCCAATATTCTTTGGATTGGCACTGAAAATTTAAAATTTTTCAAACTCGTCATTTATGATACTTAACACCAGTTTTCTTGATCAGTGATGAGGCCGTGACTCAATCTAGATTCCTATGTAAAATAATAAGCGGTTAGTTAAATAAATATTACATGAAAGTCCTTTTTTTCACCGTCACGCGGCCTTCAATTTAACGAGGTGCCTCGCTCAAATAAAGCAAATAACCATTATCTTTGAGCTCGCTAAAATATAGCATTTATTAAACTGAGAATCCTGTTCCATAATAGGGCAGCAAAAAGGAAACTTCAAAGGCGGGCGGAAACCGGAACCTCGGGTAAGGGTTAGAGCGGAGACGACGCCCGTTTCCGGCGGAAGTGCGGCGCCAGGAAGGTAGATAGAAGATAAATAAACCGTCGCCATATTGCCGGAGTTGAATCGATAAATCCGTTCGGTTTTGCATGCTGCTGCGAGTACGTACGACTTCCGTCTCGTGTTTATTTTCAGCTCCAGCGGCGACGAAAACACCAATGGGACAAAGTCCGCTGTTGACTAATGCCTTACGCTGCATTATTAATAAGTATGAATTACAATGCGAATGCATGCGTTATGCAGTTTTAGGTCAACCGCAAAGTGTGTTGACTGTTGACAGACTCAACATTTTGGTTCCGTCTGTGATAGTAGTACCTACATAATATTAACTTCCTACCTACCTACTTAGTACTAAAATATATCTTATGATTGGTTTCCTATTAACTTACTTTGGACAAGTTACTATTTTAGATCGGACTCGTCAGTTGTTCATGATTTCGAAACGGCATGCGAATGTCTCTACTTTATTGGCTCGTGCTCTCAAACTTGTAAACTGCACGCGTGCAATTAGTAAATTATAAAATTGTTTTATAACTATTACAGGCTGCATGTAATATGTCTGTAACACGATAGACTTTATTACACGCTTGGGGAGCCAAGAGATAAAGGCTACAGAAAGCCGGGCTCTCGGCACGCGGCACGACCGATGGATGCTACGTACGAGGAAGGAAACACGTTGATATTTGGCGTCGCGAAACCGGTTCTGCAAGTGTTATTCCGAAAACAAGACGGCACCCGCCTGGACTTTCCGATCGTACTGTGGTTTATTTAGCATTTTTTAGGGTACCGTGCTGTGCTCGTTCCATTTTTGTGTCACGTTTTTTAGAAGAAAACTACCTACTTCTGAAATTGCAATTTCTAAACAAGCTAGGTAGTACCTACATCAAGTGTGCATATAACATTAATGTTTTAATGTTTACACATTAATTTATTATTATTTGTATTTACACAAAAGAACCGCTTAGGCCAGCACTAAAATGAGAAGTTAACTAAAATTACTTTATTCTCGTAAAATTCTGACGGTCAACTCAAAATGGTACGTTTATCACACATTGGCGGGTGACACACGCTTGACCGCTTTTTTTGTCGCTTCACGTATGTTGGTCCCCGACAGCTTTTTACAGATGAACACCGATGAAGGTCACGCGGAACTTTGTCTAGTCTGACGGGATTTTTTGCCTCAAATCACGAAGGAAGTAATAAAAACAGATTTCGCGGAATCTTAGAGAATTGGTTGGTAACATGTGCGGATAATGTTAATCAGCGATTAGCCAATAGAACGGTTTGATGGCGACGAGTAAACCCGTTTTAGTTATAAACGACAATAGGTTTTCCAAATAGAGTGTTTTATTAGGTTTTTAAATAGGGAAGTTTGGATGGTTTTCTATTAGGCCGGTTTCAATGTTAAACGACTTAATGAATAAGTAATTAATTTATCAAGTTCCGTAGATACATATACATGGTGTTGATTGAAGCAGTTATTTTCGTAACACTTTTGTGACAAACCGAAAGCCTTAGAGGTAAAGCCGCCGACAACAGCTTGTATAGCTGGAAGGCTATAGTAGGAAGGAACTGAAAATGACGGGAAATGTTAAAATGGAGGAAAAGTTTCGTTCCACCATTTGATTTTATGGTTACTCGCATAAACGTCACAAGAATTAATTGCCTAAGAATATAATTAGGCACGATATTTACATAGTTAATTAATTTCAGTAGTTAGTACGATGCGTTGTAGGTATTATGATTTCAATTGATTATGGACATAATATTAATGTAATGTAATGAGAAAAAGTACTTAATAATAACATTCTAAGCACGAAACAAACACAAAGATTTAACTGTGCAGACGTATCGTCTCATCGTGTGTTCACTGTTCTCGTACCATTAATAATTATGTAGATAACTGGTATGAATATTTATGCCCGCAGAGAGAAGCTCCAGTCGGCTCGGAGGTCAATGTCAGCTGAGCCGACCACTCAAACAAGAACCTCTACAGTACATTTAAGTTCCTTTCCCTTCGTTTATTGTACTGAGACCAAAGGAAGTTAGAGGGATCTTTGTAAGTTGGGCAGCTGAACTGCCGGTTCCGCTTTGTGATTAGGCACAAGTGATACATGAAGTGTCGTCGTATAATACATTATTACTACGCCAAAGAACTTGGATCCAATGTTCAGTAAGTATTGCTAATTAGATTTCGTGGAACGTGGGAGTGTTTGTAAATGTAGAGATCGGTTTTTCTTTTGTGTAATTCACATCAGTCAGTGTAGAATAAAATTGTTCTACAATATAATATTCTCAATTATTGAGACCTGACTGTCACTTTCTGTGGCTACATTATCTGAATCCTAATTTATATCATAGGTCATAAAAGCAAAGAATAAACATTAATTAGTAATCATTACCTATGATGCATAGCTATTAATAGCTTCCCAAGAAAATTATTTCTTCTTCACTTCATTTAAGATGTGCAATATTCTATTTTATTGTTAATTCAAAACAGATTTCCATTAAGGAAGTGTTCAAATATAAAAAAATAATAGCTAAGATGTTATAAAATGATTAATTATTATTATTATTGGAATATTAAAGCTGTTTTTCCCAGTCGCGCGCCGACAAGTCACGTGTATTCTATTAAAGACCGGTAATCGGCTCTACTTTGCTATTACTAAACAACAAATTAAGAATGATCTTAAATAAAGTTTAATTTACTTAAGTATTAAACCTTACAGGGAAACCTAACTAGTCTTAAGTTATTAATTGAAGCAAGTATGTATAAGTTTAGTTATTATTTTATAATATTAATCATATTCATAAGAAGCAGATTATCAGCCTTATATCTTTGTTATCACATGGATTAATCATGCGAAAACCAGGTAAATGCTTGGAATTCTGTTTTATTTGTGCCAACATACCATCCATGCTAATATAAAATCGTGATTAAGGCATATTTTAAACTGCCTCGCTTATTTAATAGGTAATTTTACTAGTTTGTCGAGGAGCACGTGTATTAGAACCATTAAAGTTTAAATAAGTACTTACACGTGCTTTCTTTTATTTAGATATTCTTTTTTCTAGGAAACTATTTTGTACATTTAATCTAAATATTTACATTACATTAGTAAATTAACATCCGTATATAACGGACGTTTGCCACACAAATAGAAGATAAGATATTCGAAATAATAATTGACAAAAGATACTAAAGCGCTTATCATTTTGTGACTTATTATTTAATTTATCAATTTTAAAATCTATAATATTTAGTGAAGTTTTGGCTTATAGGCATCCCGTAGATAGTATAATATTTGATCAAGCATAACTAAACAGTTGTACTAACAACACCATCGCATATCGTGTTTTTACCTCAGTGTTTTGAACAGCCTGTATAATGTAGTCATGATTGATGACTGATTCTGTCATCCAATCAAGGTTAGGGAACCCCATTACAAGCTGATGTAAGGCCACATTTTTTACATAAGGGACTTTCTTACTATGGGACTTCCCACCTAGGAGCTGCAATTCCAAGAGCTGCAAATCGGATCCATTGTAGGTAGAGTCATGAAGGTAATCAGTATGCCTACCATGAGTTTAGGTTAGGTGAGCTCGCTAGCGAATACGTCAAAAAATTCTATGAAGATCTTATTTCTTGAAAGTAGCCACTAGGGGCGCTGCACAATATGTCATACATTTAAATGTCATTTTTTTACGCAGTCGCTAGCGAGCTCACCTAACCTAAACTCATGGTAGGCACACAGAAGTTTCACGTCGTTAGGCTCGTAGGTAGAGCGTATTCTTCTCACGTGTGGGCAGGGGTTAGGAAGGCAACTCGAGCGCACGCGCATGCGGCGTGACAGCGCTCGTCCAATTGGTAGAGATTGCGTATTTCCGTCGCGCCGCTTCCGGCCGCGCGATAACAGCAAGAGAGACTTACGACAGCGGTCAACGTACTTGCTTCACACCTACCTAGATCCACATAAACCAGTTAAAGTACTGTTAAAAAGTTGGAGCAAAAAGTTAACACGGTAAGAAATCAATAAGTGATGCCTCCAATCGATACCAATTTTCATATTCCTTGCATCCATGGTTACCTGTGTTAAGTATAGGTATGTAATAGTATGGTTTTATTGACCCGCCCTCGCCGTATTAAATCAAAGCAAAAAAATCACATCAATGATATGCATAAAACTTACCTACATTACGGTTTCACTTACATAATAATTATCCAATTTTACGATAAAAATATAAATAAAAATACTTATTAGAGGTTCGATTGTGTTACAGGAAACTTTTTTCCCTAACTCTGTAAAAAATCTGTGATATAGTAGACTCGCTTAGACGTAGTGGGAGCAAGGTAGGTACCTACATAAATGGCGTGTGGTTAATATTATTTATTACCCAGAGATCAGCTAGATACATAATGTGTGCCAAGAGATTTATTGCGAGTTGTAAAAAAAGAATAAAAATGTAAAAGTAACTGACTGAATTGAATCGTTTCTGCTGGCTAATCATAAATATTGCAAAATTTACAGCGAACCGACGAGGGACATTGCAACACAGTCCTGTAGTGCAACATACTTAAGCGATCCGCTAACGAATGTAGTGGAACCAACTTTAAGGCTTTTATTTTAAAACTAATTAAAAAGTACTGATTTTGAAATTTTGACAAATTGCAGGCTTGAATCTTTTCTTGAACGCATTTTCGCGGGCCTAAGGCCTAATAAGTCAGTGCCTTTGAAGGTTAAATATTTTTGCTTATTAATTTAATTAACCCGTATAACTTTCTTTGTTACTGTCATTATTGATGCAAAAACCAGTAACTAAAATCTAAACTTTCAATGCACGACCCAAAGGGCATAACTTCCATTTCCGAAATTGCTTCTCGTCACAAAGGTCAGGATATTCGTGCACGAAACCCATTGTCCCATCTTGGACCCACCCATTCATTAGTCCGTTTACGTGGCCCGACATCTGAGAAGACAAATGTCCGTCACACCTCCGCGCCGAGGGTCACCCTATGGTAAAGGAAATAGCTGAGAGTGGCGGCGCACGAGTACTCTGGAGCGGAAGTGGTGACCGTTCCCACGGACATTCATCCGTTACTTACCATCCCCGCTCACCTCGCCTCGCCTCAGCCCTCGGACGTACTGGGAAAGCGTGCTTATTGGCTTCCAGAACAAGCGATCAAGACAATAGTTATTCTGAGAAGTCAATCGCCGTAATGACATATCTGTTTTGGGAACCGTCGACGATCGTTCTTGTGAATCGATAGATCGAGTGAGACCAATCGTTGACAAAGACGAGTAGTTACTGATAATATTTATACGAGTAGATTGATCGTAGGTTCCTTAATAACGTGATAGAGCTATGCAATGCAAATTGCAATTGACACATTCGACTTTCCATCAGATGATCTGCAGGCGAAGAGAGCTTCCCCGTCGCGGCGTGGTTAAAGAGTGCAGGCGACTAAACAAATCTATTGCCTCTTGGGGCAAGGTTTTCTACTACCTACTTAACTAGTTACTGGTAGAAGTAATAGTAACATAAATACTGAAATATTTTACTGTCGGCCATAAATCTAGCACAGCTACTTTTTAGTGCAGATTCGTGCTTAGTCCTCAATCGGGAACATAATGGGAGTCATTGTTTACAACTAGGCTGTCACGGGACACCGTCGGGCAGCTGAGCTCATTGTTTAGTCTACGGCTGATTGCGGCCACATTAACACTAACAAATCGCAGCACAACAGACTGATTATTCGTCAAACATTTTTCAAATGTTTCACAAAATCAAAGGTAAACGAGACTCATGCCAAAATTAATTACGTACAGCTTGGAGAAAGTGCTGAATTGAAAAATTGTTAAATGCATACTGTTTAGTGAAGCTGGTTAATTTTCTTTTCTGTTCAAGATTTTAGAAAACCAGAGCTTAGTATCTAATAGGTAGTTAATTGGAAGATAATTCAAGCTGAAGTTCGAACTTAGTCTCATCCTGTCTCCACCATCTTGATAAGGGGAATGATCTAATCCTATCATACATACCTATGTGTAAATTTTTTTGAATGATCAATTTCGTTATCGTTGATTACGGCATAAATGACTATGCAACGATCACACATTTCGATTAAAAATCCAATTAATATTGTTGGCTAATGACTTGAATTGCGTGTTTTCTTTTTGCTTGTCTTTATGTAAACCCAGTGAACTATCAAGATTTCGTTAGGTGCGGTTGGTGTAGCGTCGCAACCGGATCTCCGGCCGGTGCGCGGGCAGAGGAAGCGCGCAAGACTTCCGGCCGCGGCCGCGGGAGCCGCCCGCCGTCACGCGCCGCGGCGCCCGCGCATCGCGACTCGCCGGCCGGCTTTCACGATCCGACGCCCTCACGACTATTTTAATTGACGTGCTATACACGAGATCGAAGTGAGTCTTATTTATTTTTAGTACGAAATGCCACTGAATTTTAGTAAAAAATGCTCGGCAGAGTTTTCGTAATATGAATAACATTTCACGGTTGATAATAATATGTGTTTTAATTTCGTAAAGGCCAATCAATCTCAATCAATTGATTGATACGAAATTGTGAATGTTATATTTTCTGAGATTTTCTTGAAGACGCGCTGAATTTTGTCTATTTTTTGTACATTTGCAACGGAGACGATATTGGAGACGATACTGAAAATATTAAGAAGAAAACTGTCACGTCAATCAATGTCTAACATTTACCTCCCTTTTTCAGGATAGTTATTCCTGAAAATGCTTCATATTATTTAAGAACTAATCATTACCACTAAAATTAATGGAATCGTCGCCCGAAAGAGATAGTCCTACTACGGGCACACTGCCGCCTGTAATTTGTGCCAATTTACGAGAAAAGATACTTCCTGAAGAGGTGCACTACAATATTTCTGTTTATCTATTTTTAATAGAAGATTATGATTTATTATTAGACGCATCTTCGTCTCTGTCTAGGCCCCGATTAAAATAACGTGAGTGTCATTTCAGATACCAGCCATCGAAATTACCAAAGTTCGCAAAGAAAAATCAAGAGCTGATGTTCTGGAGCCAGTGTCAGCAATACCGACACCAGTTCCTTCCCACCCCTTGACGCTAGCGTGGTCTCCTCAAGAGTTGCTCTTCGAAATCAATGAAGAAGCGGTCGTCCAAAGGTTATGGTGAGACTTCAAATTCAATAAATCTGTCCATTCTTTATGTTCGACAAACAAGTAAAATCTACTTACCTGTACCTCTACACTTAAATATTATTTTAAACAAACTTCTTACGCCGTCTGAAGAAAATTAAAGATGATTACGCTGGAAGAAAGATTTTACTTAGATACATTTAAAAGGTAGTAAAGTAGCTAGTAACGATTAGTTTCTTTAGGTTAAATACATAAAGGCTGTTTTGTGTCAAATACAACAAGGACAAGGACAAGAGAACAAAGTCTTGTTAACAAACACAGAATAAAATTAAATTGGTATTTTAAAATGGATTGATATTCCGGTATTAACTTACTTTTCCTCGATAGATATTGAGGATGGATTTTAGAAATGTTTATTTTAAACAGAATATTTTCGAAGTTAAGACTCATTGAGATTGGGGTCACAACAAGGAAAATTGTCATGTTTTTTTAAGATTTTCTTAAAGGATTATCATCTTATCTCAAAGGAGATCCTTTCTAAAATTTTAGGATTTGGAATAGCTGTTTGCGTTCAATATACATCCACTGCTGCGAGCTGTGGGATGAAACAGCGTACCTCGGAGCGCGGTGGCGTTGCTACCCACAAACCAGGTTCCTCCTGGCGCCAGGTCTGACGGCCGAGCTGTTCCTTCGAGCGTCCCCTAAGGCTGTCTCGCCCATACCCTGTGCAAAGGCAAATTTACAGCTGGCAGCGGCGCATAAGCGCGACCACGTCACTGGATACTTTGCAGTCCCTGTCAATGTGAAGTTTCTAAACCACATCCCATATTCGGGAGAAGGTGGCGAAGGATGAATATTTTAATATTTTTGATTGGTTTTTAGCTTTTGAAATAAAGTTGTACAACTTTACCCATCAGGTAAAATGTTTCATTTTTGGCCACGTCAATTCCTTTTTTCAATTTTCCTCAACCTTGAGCCATGGATAAAGTATTAATAACTCGATCTAGGAAAACACGTTAACGTAACTTTAAACTAGCTTATTTATCAAGTTATCTACCTTGACCAATATCCCAATTATTGTTACCTTACTTTAGATCCTGACATTGAAAATGTGTTTCGATCGAAAGAATAGACAGCATAATATTTGCATAACATAAAATATTAATTCGATGGACCGGTAATATTAAAATGGTAGCTGCTCTCAGATCATAGAAATATGATCTGAGTAGCTGCTTCATTAAAATAGGTAGGAGGTATAGGAATAGGTATTAATTGATGTTTTCTTTGATTTGTCTTTAGAAGAATACAATACCATACACATCTCCTGCATGTTGTTAAGCATTGATTAATCTGCAAAAGGGAAAATACTTTTTAGAAATTATCTCCCTTACCAAATTCTACACGTAGAGGGCTCACTGAAATGTAGAGAACACGTTCTTAGTATTTTATGGATAGTATAATTTCGCAGCTTGCGTAAGGAAGGACCTAGTTGACATCATCGGTACGGCTTCTGAAATACCCTATGTAGTCGCTCGGAATAGCGATCAAGACAGATCACTGTTGGTTGCGCGTACGCATGTGTAATATTAGGCCTAATAATCTCGTCGGTGAGTCAGCGTCTTTGTCCTGTCGTAGGTGGGTGAAAACCATGATGCAACAAGTTAAATGATGTATGAATTTAGAACACAGTGGAACATTTGTTTCTTTCTCTTGGAACTTCTGAGATTGACATGAATAATGTTATGAGGCCTGTAGCGAGCTTTAATTGAATTTGATGTTAGCTTTGGCGTAGCAACATAATAACCGCTCACTTAGTAGTTTACTTTGCTAAATGTAAGCAGCATAAATTATTCATTATTTGTCTGTGAAAACTTTTATCGACTTTTCAGGCTAAGAGAAACATCATAAAATAGGTTTTCAACCTATGTATGTGTAGCGGTGACATCAAAATGTAACCCATTTTACGAACATCTGACTAACGCGACGAGATTAATTTTGAGACGTTAATATTACAGCTCGCGGGAAGCGTCAACATCTCCCGTTTTCTATTATCTGGCCGTAAAATTAAAATAAGAGCTACTTAAATCGAAAACAAACGATATTTCTCTCGATTCGGACAGGTTTCACAACAGTTACTCAATGCAGCAATAAAAATAAAGGCGCGAACGCTTGAGCAAGCAACGCAAAGAGATGTTGAGTGCTCCTTATTCGTTGATAGGCCCTGGTGACGGTGTCGTTGAGCCTATAAAATCGTCTGAAGTGTAAACACACGTAAATATCGTGGCACACACGCACTCGTAAAATCTATTTCTCGCGTCATTGCGGCCCCTGCTATTCGGACGTTAGTAGTTAGTAAAAGCATGTTAACTATTAAAAAAACGATTTAAGTTACCATACAGGACCAGAAGTACCTTGTTGTTAATTGTGGTTGTAAATCAGCCAAAAATCCTCAAGTCTTATATATATCAGCCAAAAATCCTAGCTATGAAATTACCGTTTTGTGATGAAAATTTCAAGGGAAATTCGAAATTTTCAGCTTTGTGGGTGCATATTAAGCTAATTGCAACTTGAATATTTAAAAATAGTGAACTGATTTATCAGTGAAACACTCGTAGTATTAAGTAATCGGTAAATAGTGAAATATTAAAGCTTATCATTTGAACTGTCCCCAATTCTGTAAAGCAGGTTTTTGCCAGCGCTCCCTCGCTGGCGTCATTGTGTCGGTGGTCCAGCCATGGCTTCCGGGTGCTGATTGGAGCTGATTGATATTGATTTCTCTCATTACAACCGGACCGTCTGACATTTGTACGGCAGCCTATCACTTCAGATGGGGCGTTGTCTTTTATGATGATTACCCTAATTGGTTACTTTCGTTACACCTTTTTCCCGTTTAATTGAAAACGGACAAGGTTGTCTTATTTAATTGTCTTGCCAAGTAAAATGGGAAAAATGGCATACCGACTGAAGTAATCACAATTTCACCGTGCATTTTAGTGAAATTGGAATCACAACCATGTTTGGACATTTCATGAGACTACATTTTTAATAAGTTATTTATTAAACTAAAGTTATAAAGTCTTCTGCAAGCTAGGGCAAGTAATACGCACTTTTTCAGATAAATACCTACTGATTACCTACTCGTATGTAGAGCTTTTTTATCATAGCAATACTTTTGAGACAGAAAAGTTCCCTTTTGTTCTTTTGTTGCAACATTTTTAGACCGTGACAGTCGATACAACTATGGTCTCCCTTTGATATACCGAATGTTCACAAATATTTCACACAATAAAGAACTTTTCCTTCCTTATTAATAACATTAAGCGTCTTTAACAATTTAATTTCTCCGTCTCCTGTGAAGTTCTATTCGAGACACAAATTATCGACTCGGTTTGATCCCACGCCCAAAATAAAATATCATATTTCCTGTCAGTCGAAGCGAGCTTCAGAGTTTAAATCTTTTTTTCTAATGTTTTTTTCTACAAAGCATCAGGTTTTTTAAGGAACTGCGTCGCACATGTTTGTTCAACATTCGAATCTTCTTTACAAGTTAACGTTTTTTTGGCGTCTGGTTGCACTTTAAACGGCGAAACGTATTATGAGTGACGGAATGTGGAGTACCTACCTACCTACTTATTCATAGCGATCTAGTTTTGAGTCATCACTCTACAACCGATGCAAAATTTAATAAGTAGGTAGATAGGTAGGTAATAAAATCAAATCTTTCAGTTTTCTTTGAGAGCTATTTTTTGCTAAGTCGATTCAACCGAAATGATGAGCCACCTTATTTTCTTCAACGGATCTTCTGTAGACCCCCACTTAATTTTTTTAAAATTATTTTCACTGTTTACAGTGTTTCTTAATTACCTACTTACATGATGTTTTATTGCACACATTTAAAACTTAATTTCAGTAATTTTTAGGCACTGGAAATAGCTGATATGAAGCTTTTGTGTTTGAAGTGACAAAGTAGGTACCTACCTAGTACCTACTCGTAAACTCAAAATTATTGTTTTATTTTGCAATCCGATTTCAAAATTGTCATTGGTAACGACATCGTCAGTTCTTTCACTTTGTTAAGTATTTCTTGCTGCGATTGTAACTTATTGGCTTGGCGTAAACGCAGTTGACGCATTACGGTATGAATAAATAGGGTGAGACAGTGGGTGATAGTTTGTAAAAAGCGTTATCTGTTTTTAGTGAGGCATGTGGTGAATGCCGAGAATCGGGACATGTGTTGTTGNGATTGTTGACTACATTGGCTTCATTGTAATTTTTATTTTCAGGATTTTATTCGTATGAAACAAATTTAAACTGCTGCAAGTGCAAGTAGGTATCTGCTCTAATTACAAATACACGTGTTTGTTTCATAATATTTGTAGCAATTTTGACCTTGACTTTATAAACCCAAAAGGGGGTCTTGTTTGTGTAGTCTTGTACAGTAGAATTTGAGCTTCATGATTAAATTGTTTGTTACTGGCGTTTTACCCAGTATTTTACCAGCAGACTCTTTTTCAGTTCCTGAAACGAATCCCTAATTCATAGTTTCAGGCATGTTTTCATGGTTTTTCATCTTTGCTGTGCCTACAATCGGGACGTCCCACAAACCTAGGTCACCTTGCAACACTACCGCGCCGTTAGCGGAGTTGCAAAGCGTGATCGTGCGCACTTAGCGCGGTGTATTACAGGTGTTGCGCCGCTTCTCACGGCGAACGCGCCGGTTCCGCGGCGCTTGCATAACGGCTGCGCCGGCGCACGTAACGCGCCGTAACAACGCGCATTATGCATGTAGGGCGCTAACTTGACGACTGCGCTAACTGTGCTTTACCGGTCAAAAGAAAATTGAAAATAGGAAACGCCTTTCTTTTGAGACGATTCTTCCTATTGACGAGGACTTAGGTAGGTCACGTTTTAACTTTTGGAATGCATTTTGATTGAAACGAAACTATGTAATTCCATTATCTAGGTTCTTTAAAGATGAGTCACAATAGGTATAATAATATGTATGTATACTTAGGTACTGTTACGTGAACAACATGCCATCTGCAACGCCGACGTACGCCATTCGCATACTATCAGATACGTCGATGACCGATTCCAATCTAAAGCTGTCTTTTATCTTGTCTGTCGCACATGCCCATTGTGCAGCCACCACAAAGGCCTCCGGGTTACGTTACCGAAGACGAGCACGAGGCAGATTGTCTCCGATAATCGATATGCCAGACTCGAGCTTCCATCAACAAAATATCGAATTCCGCGATCTTCTTCAATCCGCACCCATTCTACGGAAGCGGTAGGCGCCAGCTGCCTTTGCCGTATCAAATGCCAGACAGATAATAAAGGATTCCTTAATAAGAAAAACGTAAAACGAGCCAAGGGCAACGTTCAGAATGCTTTCACGCTAAATCGATCGCAGACAGTGTGGTCTTGTAATGCACACCGTCTGAAGTTGAATATCGCATTTAAATTCGCATTTGCTCTTTTTGCAGCGATTTGATTGAAGGGAACAAGGAATTTAAGGCAATATTGCACTGAGTGACGTTAAGTACTTTTTTAATTGCGTTTTGCTTATCCATTCACTGATGTATTAAGTTGGTAAGCAGGCTAGTAAAATACATTTTTAGATTTTTATAATATTTGGCTAGTACTGAGAAGAGCACGATAAAAACCATACACAATTTCCTTTGTATTGAACTACTTTGTTTGTAGATACCGTAAAATGAAACAGGACTGTTACGAATTTAGTAGAGTTGCAAAATATGTATTACCTTTTCCCTTTTCTAATACCTATTTGCTATTTGACCTACAAAAATCAGAATTTACCAGTTAGATACCCAAGTAGACGGTCAAAGTATTACAGAATACTAATTAATTTTACTGAATTATTATAATGTAAAGTAGGTAGGCATT